CCTTGAAGAACAAGAAAATTTGTTTCCCAATTAATATCGGGATTAAAATTCTTATCCAATTCCAATCCCAAATCGGCCGCACATTCATCGTAACCTTCGGCCAATTTCCAAAAACTTAATTAAACAATCCAAAATTGCATCATTGGCCCTCCAATTCTCTAAACTCATTAATTTCTTCCCCATCAATTGCTCCAATCTTTAATTCTTTCCCATTGAGTTGCTTTTAATTCGATTTTAGCTCAAAACTTCAACAATTCTTCATTTTAATACAATTCCTACAATTAAAGATAAAATCACATAAATAGCATATTTGTACTCAAAATATATTGCAAAAATCACAAATTAGGGATAAAATAAATAGGTAAAATATAAGCATATCACTTCCCTTTAAAAGTACTGCAAAAACTCTCACGTGGTAAAAATGTATTTTTAAACCACTTTTCAATTTAAAACTGAAACACAAACAAAATGGTTATTCATCAATGTCCTTCCAAAACCTTGTCAACTCATTGCATTAATAACAACAATAGTTGTAGCTTCTTAATTAGTCTTTATCTTGTCTCCACTCTCCACTCTACAAAAATTGGCAATTCAGTACAGATTTTATCACCTTTCCACTGAAAACGAATTCCATAAGAAAGTGCAAAATGAAACAGAGAATAGACAAAAATAAATGATATCAAGGGGCAACCAGATCAAAATAATTCTCAGTAATCACAATTCAACAAAACACTTCAACAAAATCAAAATGGATAAAGAACAAAAAACCCCAAATTATGTCCAAATAGACAATTTAATCCTCCATCGATAAAATAGTGACTGCTTGTGAAAAAAACTTAATAAAACAACAAGAATGTCCTTTTAACATCATCATCGTCATCGTCGTCATCATCATCATCATCATCATCATCATCATCATCATCATCATCATTATTATTATTATTATTATGGGGGAAATTACAAAGAATCCCATTTATGCCCAAATCTCACATGCCCCCCTTGATTTTTTTTTTTTTAAAAAAACCATAACCCTCCAAATTTAATAATAATTATGTTTTTACTAGGTTTTGTTTTCACCCACAAATCTGGAAATCCCTGTAATTTCTACTAATACTATTTTATACGACAACAAATCTCTGTAATTTGTGAAACTGATAGTGAAAAGTCGGAGCTTATAAATCTCCTATTTAAATTTGTGAATCTTTATAATATCTATTTTATGAATATATGAGCTAATTATTATTTTAGTTACAGACACTGAAAACGATAATGTGATTACTTAGTATTAGCGGATATAAATATAGTTTGGAGTACTTTTTATCTTTATACATTGAAAATTATAAGCAAGTTTGAAGTATAATTGTAAATTCAACTTATGAATTTTTCTATTTAAAATATAGTCATAACCATCTTGATTTTTTAGTCATATTAAGGCTTATGGACTATTGACATCAAACTTATGATCGTCAAGAAAATTTTTGTCCTTATAAGAAAACTCGAGGAGGAATTAATCTTTGGTACGTAGTTCAGGGGAGATTTTGTCTTTATCCCGAATATAAAAGAAATGATTGCTAAATGATGAAGTCGCATCTATTTCTCTCATTTGTGTTTAAGATGGCACAATGAAGAATAGAACACTATGAAAGGCCTTCTGTAGGTATCTTTTCCATGGTGACGTTTCACAATTTTGTTGAGGATTTCTACTTCCAAGCCTTGTTAATGTCGTAGAGCTTGGCTTCTCTTCCGAGGATCCTTAAGGAACTAAATACTTCAATCTGCCTAAATGAAATGAAGTTAGTGTCCCAAGTTTGATTCATTCTCGCTGATTGTAAGGAAGTTGCAAGAAGTAATACAAACCTTGAGTGGTGAAAGATGTTAGTTGCCGGTCCAAATAGTAGCTCAAAGTGAAGTTATCAAAGGAGTTCGTCCATACGTTAAGAAATGAAAGATCAATATATTGATGAACTTACTCGAATAACAAAATGACAGTGACTGGTCAAATACTGGGTACTATGCTCACCTTTTTTTCCCGGGAGACTGGTCATAAATTCTCGACATAAATTTAAAGTTTAAAGCAGACAACCCATATTATCAGGAAATGTTCATCAACACTACCTTTTCCACGCACAACAAATCCTTGTCTTTCAAGGATTTACATACAGAAAAGACAAAGCTTGCTTTTGTGTAACACAAAACTTGAGCCTTAAATCAAGAAGAGGCAGAATTTTTCCCAATAAGGTTCACCCAACAGCAAAAGATCAAATCTCAAAAACTAGAGGCAATGCAGACCAGTTTATCAAGAGAAAAGGACAAGCTTGAATGAGGATCCCTAACCTTACAGCAATTGCCTCCAACTACTATAAAAAATGGCCATAAGGAGCATCTATACATCCTGCTTCCACTACCAAAATCTGGTTTCATGGACCAAAAACAAATTGCAAGACCAAAAAAAGGGGACAAGTGCCAATAACACCAAGGTTATTAATGTTTCAGCAACTGTTCAATGCACCAATGCATACAACATCAAGTAGAAATTTCAAAAGATAATGATTGAATCAAGATACATCTTTACTTAACTGGGAATACAAATACAAAGAGAAGTGAGAAGAAAATGATACATGTTAAGATAGTTGAGATTGCTGAGTTGTTTACAAAGAGAAACGAACGAGCTTCAATGAGGATCTCCAACCTTAAAGCAATTGCCTCCAACTTCATATCAAAAATGGCGATAGGGAGCAACTATATATACATGCTTCCACTACCAAATTTGGTTTAATGGAGGACGAGGATGGACCTGTTCAGCCCATACAGATCGAGCCCAATAAGCCTAAATGGGTTGACCGACTAACCGGAAACATCCTAGGTTTGGTTACAAGACTTATTTTCTTAACATGAACCATGCACAAATAGGTAATACTTGGCCTGTAAATAAGGATGGATACACCATAATAAAAGGACGTTATCATTAGCACAATTTACATACTATTTATATTTTCTTAAACTCTCCAACTTAAGCATCAGAGTCCTAAGCCCCTGTGAACCGGAGCTTAGTCTTCTTGTCTTGTGTTAGGATTTTCCGTCCAAATTGACACTTTTGGTTCAGATTGATGAGTTGATAAAGGATTCCTTACATTTTACAATATTTTAATGGTTTTCTTTTTGTAGTATATACGTGGCCTTAATTGATGGAGGCTAGGATTGAGGCTGACGGCTGGAATAATACAATTAGGATTAGGGTTCTTTTAAAAAATTATTTTAGTAATTAAACTCGTTCGTGGGTAATTACACTGAAAGGCCGTAGATAATGGAGTTACCCACGGCTCAGCCTTTTCAGCAGCCGAGGGAGAAAATCCCCTGGGTAAAAAATCCTCTCACAAAAGTCAAAGGGTCTTTGGTAATTTACCCACGGCATATGTCGTGGGGACTTCCGTGTGAGAAATTGTGTATTACTTGACCAAATGATGAGGACCGTGGGTGAATCCGTGGGTAAAAAAGATTTATTTTTTTGTTTTATTTATAATTTTACCCACGAAAGTCGTGGGTAAAATTTTTTAAAAAATTTAAAACATACTTTTACCCACGGAGAACTTTTTACCCACGGTGTTCTCCGTGGGTAAATTACTAAGTTGCCATAAAAAAAAATACCCACGGCAGAGTCATGGGTAAATTGCTAAATATTAAAAGGAACAATTATTTATATTTTAGCCCCTAATTTTTTTGTATAATATCAAATCCAATTCAAAAACTTTATTAGAATCTGAATTCCATTCAACCAAAAACCATTCAACAAAGTTGTAAACAACTCAATCCATTTCAAAGTTCAAACCATTGTCAAAACACCAAAAGAACTACACATTTTGAAGTCAATCCGAAACTAATAAAATACACATATCACCTATGAACATTAAGCACCTAAAGCGTGGTTGTCATCATCCTCCATAAAACTTCCATCCGAAACATTTTGCCCTTTCGATCCTTTAATACTTTGATCATCCTCAACATCTAGATCCAGAAATGAACTCCATTTTGCTTGCACCGTAACCTAAGTCAAGTAAGGATGCACATTAAGTAAAATGTTTCGAAAAACAAACACAGAAATATAGGAATTTGAAACTTAAGAATAGACCAGTTTTGTACTCTTAAGAATTCAATTTTAGCACATCTTTCTAATTGAATTAAAAAGATCTTTTCCAAGATTCCTCAAAGATCACTAGTAGCTTAGCTATGAGTTTCAAGCCTTTTTGTCATTACTCAGACCAAACCTGCTGAAAACAAGGCTTAGCTTGTACTTAGAAATGGCTGAAGAATCAATCAATGTTTTTGAATAAAAATCAAAATAACTGACACAATTCGACGAGCCAAGAGATCCAGATCGGAAGCCTCAAGTGTCAAACTTTCAACAACATATGTGACGATCTTCAAGGTAAAGGTTAAACAGTTAAAGCCAATTATCTCCTTTTCGTGTAGACAGTTCACACATAAAGCTTGTAACAACGTGAACATGGATGGTTACAAACTTCTGAATTCTCAAAAATTTCCAAGAAGTTACCATAACAAAGCCAAACAGAAATGAAGTCTATCACATAAATTATACTTTTAATCGAGATGTAATTGTTTATAATAAATGACAAAATCATGGGAGACGCCGAGAACTGCGCTAATGGCCGTCCTACATCTTTTGTATTTTGTTTTCGGAAACTACGAATGATGAAGCCGCCATTTTGAACACATAAGGTTGGAAGGAAAGTTTTCTGATTGAGAAACATCAATCACCAAACTCCATATGTACCAGACAAAGGCTTTTAGTGGCCTGCTTTATTTTTGAATATGTAAGCAAACTCTCTAAAAGGAGTCTCATCTTAGGAAATGCTCCTATTCGTTCTTTAATTCTTGTTTTACACGAAGTACCATGAACAATCACATGCATTACATTAACCTCGTCACAAGGACGTACTATATAATAATGCATTCAGTATCAACAATCATTGCAAAACCGAAGCATGATCAACTTATGCATGGATACTATCCTAATCAACTTCATTCTTCTCTCCATTTCTGTAGCATTCATTTTAATATCACTGCTATGGAAGCAATCGAAATCAGCCCAGAAGCAGGTACCTCCATCCCCGCCGAAGTTACCTTTTATCGGACATTTGCATCATTTGGCATGTGCTCCACCCCATCATGCACTCAGGAAATTGTCCCAGAAATATGGTCCTCTGATGCACTTGCAGCTGGGAGAGATTCCTGCTATCGTTGTATCATCGCCGCGATTAGCTAAAGAGGTAATGAAAACTCAAGATGTAGTCTTTGCGGACCGGGGAAAATTCCTGGCAGGAAAAATCATGTGCTACAATTTCACTGATATTGCTTGTGCACCATATGGAGAATACTGGAGACAAATGCGCAAAATCTGCACTTTGGAACTCCTTACAGCTAAAAATGTCCGGTCATATGGCTCAATTAGGCAGGAGGAGGCTTCGAATCTCATCAGATCGATCGAAGCTCTAGCTGGCAGTTCTACACCAGTTAATTTGACAGAGAAACTGGCACAATACACAAGTTCCATGGTGGTCAGAGCAGCATTTGGGAAAGTTAGTAAAGATGATCACAATGCATTCTTAAAGCTAATCAAGGAAGCATTGCCCCTTTCCAGCGCCTTCGAAATTTCTGATCTCTTCCCATCGCTGAAGATCCTCCATCCTTTCTTTTCCATGGAGAGTAGACTGATGAAGATCCACCGGAAACTCGACACTGTGATGGACAACATTATTGATCAGTACCTCAACAAAGACTTATCAACATCGAAAACATGTGATGAAGATCTACTTGATGTCCTGCTGAGAGTCAAGCACAGCAATGACCTTCAACTTTCAATTACGAAGGATAATATCAAGGGTGTTATGCACGTAAGTGGTTATTACAGCACAAATGGTGGAATGCACAGATGTTTAAGATTAGTTATTTACAACACAAATCTCTATTTTTTGCAGGATATGTTCACAGGAGGAACTGAAACTTCATCCTCCACAGTGGAGTGGGCAATGGCCGAGTTGATCAGGCATCCTGAAGTTATGGCCAAGCTACAGAATGAGGTAAGGATAGCTTTCAGAGGAAAGAAAACAATTGAAGAGGCTGACATCCAAGAATTGACCTACTTAAAATCAGTTGTTAAGGAAACACTCAGGCTACACCCTCCAGTTCCTCTTCTGGTTCCAAGAGAAAGCAGGGAACAAACTGAGATTGATGGTTATATATTCCCTGTCAAAACCCGAGTCTTTGTTAACGCCTGGGCGATTGGGAGAGACCCTGAGTCTTGGGATGATCCCGAGAGTTTCAAACCAGAGAGATTTGAAAACAGTGTCACAGATTTCACCGGAAACCATTTCGAGCTTATACCGTTTGGTGCTGGAAGAAGGATGTGCCCTGGAATAACATTTGGCCTTTCAAATGTCTATCTTCCATTAGCTCTATTACTCTACCATTTTGATTGGAAACTTCCGAATGGCCTCAACCCGAAAGATTTAGACATGGCAGAGACTGTTAGCATAACTGCATCAAGAGCAAATCAGCTTCTCTTGATCACAAAATTGTATGAGCCTTCCCTTTGAAAGGATTGCCAACACTGTCATACCATCTTCATGAGCCCTCCTTACTGTACTCTTCTAGTTTTATGTTTACCATTTTCAACTTAGTTTTGAATACATCTGAAGCTGCTACTACTTCAACTTACTGTACTCTTTTCTATTTTTATTCATGTTCCAAAATTATCTTTGGGTCCTTTAAGCTTAGCAATTAAAAGCACATTGAACAAGTAATGAGGATTGAGGAATATTAATCAACAGTATTCCTCAAAGGTCACTTACCCTAAGAAAAGGCTCAACCCTAATTCCCTAATAGTCAATTATTCAAACTCTTCAAGAACTAGGTGGCTCATATCAGGAAAAAGGCAAATGAAGCTTGTTTCAATATGGCAGCAGAATCAGCTCTCATGTCTAAGCGATTATCCCCATTTCGGAATCATCAAAACCTAAACAAAACCAGTACCAATCAAACCAGGATCCAATGTAATAGATGTTACCACATTCATTCGCAGCCAGCAACTTCATTTAGCCCGTCTTCAATCATCAGCTTTGGAAAAAAAAAAAAAAAACCAAAAAGAAACGCTTTGAAAAAACTTTGAAATGCAATTCATTCACTCATCAAAACAGGGCCAACACATACTGATTCTTCTGCTGCAGGTAACAATAGCAGTCAATAGTTCCTTACTTTCCTGAAGCATATTAATTCGAATCCAACCATCCATACTCCTCACTGTAAGCTTCAATGAATTTCAAATTTCCGATCAATTTCTTATCGGACTTATCATGCACCTATAAAGATCACGATACACGAATCAGTGCAACCTTGGGACGTTTCAATTTCTTGCTGCAATGAGCATTTTCAATAACTATGTCAATATCTGATTTCAAATACTTCAGTGGTGGAAAAACAAAAATGTAACTAATCTCAGAAACTAATAAATTCAGTTTATTAATTGAATTCTCTTTTTCTTTTTTTTTTCTTTGAGAGGAAAATCGCAACCTGAGAACTCCCTAGCTATGTCTCTGCAGGGTTATAGAGAATGAGCTTTTAATGTACCTTAGCAATTTTACTTCTGCCTCTGTTCCTTTTTATAAGAGGTAACTGGCATGAAACTTTCGTTTCTTTATGTGAAATTAATTGTTGTTTATACCATCTGGACTTCTTGTCTAGTTACTAGGGGTTTTACTTTAGGAACCTCAAAAACATTGAAACTGGAAGATTAACATAAAGTATAAAAATAAGTTTGCAAATCCAAAATGTTCCCAAATGTCTCCTATAAGAAATGTATGGAAAGAATCCTAAAACAACTGAAAAACCCACTCATGCGCGAATGCGGGAATCATCACACACTCAAAAACAGCTTAACCCCCACCCCACAACCCCACCAAAAAAAAAAACCCCTACAAACCTATCTATTGGCCAAAAAAAACACTTAAAATTTAGACAATTTTCCATATTCTCTGTTGATGCTTAGTCAGGTGGAGTGGCCTCAAGGATCAAAGGTATCTTCCTCTTTGCAACAACACCTGGAGCATCATTCATGTCCAAATCCTCGGATCTTACCCCTCCACCAAGTCCTAAATTAAATTTCAACATTAAATTTGCAAGCGTAACTTCAGCGGTTGCCAAGGCTAGTACCATACCAGGACAACTTCTCCTTCCATGACCAAATGGGATCAACTCAAAGTTGTGTCCTTTAACGTCAATAGAGCTATTCAGAAACCTATCGGGTGAAAATGCATCAGGATTTTGCCATAACGTAGAGTCCCTCCCGATGGCGAAAGCATTGATCAACACTTGAGTGCCAGAAGAAATATCGTAACCCATGATTTTAACTGCGTTTCTTGATTCGCGAGGAAGTAACAATGGGCCAGGAGGATGCATGCGCAAAGTTTCTTTAATAACCGCCTTTAAATAAGGGAGTTTTTTTAGGTCATCCTCTGTTATGCAATTCAATTTACTGATTGAGAATCTTCGCACCTCATCTCTTAGTTTGGTCATAGCATCTTTATTTATAACTAGCTCACAAATTGCCCACTCCAATAGAGCAGCTACAGTGTCGGTCCCACCAACAAACATGTCCTTAAAAAAAAAAAACCAAAAAAAACCTTCCAGATTAGCTAAACAAGTGGCTCTTAATTTTTCCTTCCTTTTTGGAATATTATGCAACCATAATATGTGCAAGTGAATAGGAGGCGATACAAGAATATGATACTATGATAAAAAATGATTTATGTTTAAAATTTTGTAAAACATAATAGGTTATATATGACACCTTATTCATGTGTGGATTATTACTAAAAAAAGGAATGAATCAATTCTTAAAATGAAAATAAATTGCTTTTAAATAAACAACTAAAACTTACGAATATTATTGCTTTGATTGAATCACGATGGAGAGTATATCCACTGGTATTTTCTGATTGGAGTTCAAGCAAGACATCCAAGAAATTATGTTGCCCTTTAAACTCATCACGTTCACCATTATATCTCAATGCTTCCTCACGCCTTTCCATTCCTCCTTCAACAATATTTTCGAAATACTCATCTATCTCTTTTGCAATCCTATTCACTTTTGCCTCCAAACCATTAATATGATTAATCCATCCAAGCCATGTGGTATAGTCACCGACATTAAAACTCCCCAATATCTCCGAAAATTCCTCATACATCTTTTTGAAATTACTCCCACTTTTCTCCCCGGATAACCTTTTCCCAATAACTATCCTCGAAATTATATTGTTCGCGAGTGTAGCCAGCATCTCGCTGATATTGAATGAAGAGCGCGACACGCAGGATTCTGTTACTTTTTCCATCAATAACGCGATTTCTTCTTCGCGCACGCTTCTGAAAGATTGAATGCTCTTGTTACTAAGAAGCTGAGATACACATATGCTTCTTACTTGCCTCCAATATTCACCGTACGGCGAGAAACCCATGTTCTTAAAATTGTACAAAATTCTTCCAATAAATTTTAATTTAGGCCTGTTTGCGAAATCGAGATCATGTGTTTTGAGGACCATTTTAGCGACCTGAGGAGACGAGATGATGAGCGTTGGCTTGCTTCCTAAGTGTAAAAGCATTAAAGGACCATATTTTTCAGCTAATAATTTGAGGGATCGATGGGGAAGAAAACCAAGTTGATGAAGGTTTCCAATTATAGGAAGTTTTGGTGGTGAAGGTGGGAGTTTTCTTGAAGTCCGATTCAACCATTTGAAGAGAAATAAAGTAACGATGAAGAATGAAATAAGCAAAAAGAGGGAATGTTTCATTTTTGAAAGGAAAGAAGTGGTTTCTCCCGGGAATGGAAACATAAACATGGACATTTTTTTTCAACTTGCAGAGCCACAAGTAGTCACATGCTCACAGAGATTGCTTCTTTTATGGATGTTTGTATATTGCCATATTGGATTTTTTTTTTTTTTGTCCATCTTAAGAACTAAAATAAAAACCATACGTACAAATTTAATATTGTTAAGTCAAGTTGTTATCAGTTTTAAGTTCAGCATTGTCCTTATTATCAGCGGAATAATTGATCCAACAAATACTCACCTCATATTCCCAGTCAAGAACTAAATGAAGATAATGCACGCAACCAATCAATTTTTTTATGGAGTCGTACTTGATAGGCGGAATTTCTTGCTTTTTTTTTTTTGGTAAATTGTAAATTGTATTGATCAACACAAACTTCCTGTACAAGGTATAATTACATCATATGTCAAAACTCAACCCTAATTTCCTCATCAACTGCTGCTCACTACTTTTTAATTTTTTCAGCTGCAAACAAAACTGAATTCTATATCTAGTCTCCTACTGAATCTTGTTAAAACAGCATTCCACCTCACTTTTTATATCTCTGAATTTCCTGTAATTTCTTTCCATCCAAACATGGTAAACAATGGCATCGAAAACAGCATAGAATACCCTCTGTTGCAGCTTTTTATATCTCCACATTTGCAGCATTTCCTGGATATTCAACTGGCTTGGGATGCTACTGATTCCCAGCCAATCCTTCGCCATTTCCAGCAGTCTTTTGGAGAACACACATTGAAAGTATAAATGATTACCAGTTTCAGCTTCTGAATCGCACAGAACACACCTTATCTCATCAGCAACAATATTCAGCTGCTGCAATCTTTCCCCAGTAAGAAATCTTTTTTTCCAGGCCAACCAGTTTATAAAGCTGTGTTTTGGTACTGAATAACAACACCATACTACCTTTGCAGCATGATCCTTCCTGTGTTCTCCTCTTAGCCATGAGTAACCACTACTTGCTGTATACTGCTAACCTCCATTTCCCATCCATTTCCCATTGCTGATCCCAGCTTTCATAGCCTCTTTGATTTGCATTAGTTTTTTCCAATGCCAACTACTGTCATTTGGAGCTCTACAATCCCATACTGATCTGCCTTTTATATAATACATATGCATCCACTTATCCCACAAACTTTCCTTTCTGTTACTCAGATCCCATAATTGTTTGGTGATCATGGCCTTATTCCACAAACTAGGTTCCTTGATGTTTAGGCGTCCTTCTAATTTCGTCTTACATACATCATTCCATGCTACTAGAGACAGCTTCTTTCCATCCTCCTTACTTCCCCAGAGAAACTGTCTACAAACTTTGATTATATCTTAGATCACATTCTGTGGAATAAGAAAAAAGCTAGCCCAATAGGAATTTAAATTCATCAAAACAACATTAATGAGTAATGACCTGCCTGCATATGACAAATGCTTTGAAGTCCAGCATTTTATCCTTGCAGTGACTTTATCCACCATGCTTTGACATTCCATTTTACTCCATGCAGCTGGTGATATTGGCAGTCCAAGATATTTCATAGGAAAGCTTCCCTTCTCAAATCGTAAAATGGATTGAATTTGATTAGTTATAGTTTCTGACACTCCTGCCACATAGACATTAGATTTGTTGAAGTTGACTCTCAATCCAGTGGTAGCTTCAAAGTTTTCCATTATCTTCTTCACTCTTGTCACAGTATGAACATCAGCACCACACAAAATGATAAGATCATCTGCAAAACTCAAAGAAGTTATTTTGAGTTTATCACAGTAAGGATGTAACTGAAAACCTTCTTTACTTGCTTCTGATTTGAACATTCTGGTCAGGTACTCCATCACCAATACAAAGAGGAGGGGTGACATCGGATCACCTTGCCTCAAGCCTCTTTTTCCTTGGAAAAAACCTGTACTGCATCCATTAATATTTAGAGAAAATGTTGCTGTTGTGATACACTCCATGATCTAACCTATCATCTTTGGTGGAAACCCATATTCCTGTAACATCTCCTCAATAAACCCCAGTGTATAGAGTCATAGGCCTTCTTGAGATCCACCTTCATCAAGCAGCTTGGCCTTACATTTTTCCTGTGATACAGTCTTACCAACTCCTGTGTAAGTACAATGTTTTGCAAAATAGATCTACCTTCCACAAAAGCTCCTTGATTTATATCAGTCAGTCCATCCAGAACATTGCTCAGCCTTTTGCATATCATTTTTGACATGCATTTATATACAGTGTTACAGCTTGCAATAGGCCAGTATTCAGTAGCATCTTTAGGCACAGCTACTTTAGGGATCAAGGTAATCGAAGTTGCATTTAGCTATTTCAACATTTTACCTGTTTTAAAAAATTCAATAATAGCCTCACAAACATCTTCTTCTACAATGGACCACATAGCTTTATAGAATCCACTGTTGAATCCATCAGGACCTGAGCTCTTATTCACACCTATACTGAACATTGCCTCCTTAACCTCAGCATTTGTGAATTCCTCTATCAGGAGAATTTGCTGTTCAACAGACAATTTGCTCCCTGTACTGAAAAAGCTACTTTGGATTGATGTTCTAGTCACATTTGTACCAAGGAGTGACTGAAAGTACTCCAAGAAGTGCTTTTCCACCAATTTTGCATCTTCAATCAGAGTTCCTTGATCATCTGTGTAGGATCTAATTTTGCTCCTGGATATTTTTTTCTTTAAGCTGGCATGAAAATATTTGGTATTAAGATCACCTTCCTGGAGCCATTTCTCCTTCAATTTCTGATTATAAAAGCTAATCACAGCTTTTCCTGCAAGTACACACTCCTTTATTGCTACCTTTTCCTCCTGTTGAAGATGTGTATTAAATGGATCAGCCTTCAAAGATTCTTGAACATCTTCCAATTTCTTCCTCCACTGTAATTCTGCCTCTTCAATGTTGGAAAATTTCCTTTTATTCAACGCTCTGAGTGGTTTCTTCAGCAATTGTTGCTTTTTACTCATTCAATATTGGCATGTCCCCTCTACCTCCTTATGCCAGCATTCATGCACTATGTCCTTGCATTCCTGATCTTGTAACCACATGTTAAAAAACCTGAAAGATTTCTTCATACCAACATATTCCTCTCCCCATTTTACTAAAAGAGCATGATGATCTGAAATCCCTGCATTCAAAACTGCGGTGTAAGCCTCATGAAAAGTATTATCCCATTGTTCATTGATAAAACTTCTATCCAATTTGGACAGTATTCTCATATTCCCAGATTGCTTATTGCTCCATGTGAAGAAACCTCCTTGCACTGACATCTCCCTTAATTCACATTCCTCAACCAGCTGTTTAAATTTCCCAGAATCAGAATTCATTTCTTCCCTACCACCCGATCTCTCATTCTGTTGCATTACACAGTTAAAATCCCCTACCATCAACCAAGCTTCAGTAATCCTCTGTGAAAGAGCTTTCAGACTCTCCCAAAGTATGCTTCTCCCTTGTGCTAAATAATCAACACATACCAAAGTGAAGTAAAATTACTTTTTAAACTCCAATTCAGTAATATGACAATGTATAAACTGTCTATCCACTTTGATCACCTTTACCACATAATCTTCTTTTCTCCACATCTCTTTTCCATTAGCTCCTTCACCTTTTCACCTCGTAATTTTGTTTCCAACAGCCCCATAATACCAACCTTATTCACAGCAAGGCATTGATCTACCTCTCTGTGTTTCAGAGGACTGTTTAGTCCTCTTATATTCCATGATAGTATGTTATTCATAAGTACTAGGTCCTGGATAAGGGTTACTAGCTCCTTGATAACAAATACTATTGATGGATCTATTCTTAATATCACCTCTACTGTCAGGCATCTTAATGCCTTTATGGTTTAATATCTGTTTGCTTCCTTCTCCAAACTCAGTAGTACTCTCCTTTCTTAGTGATGCTGTGTAGATTTTTGAAGATTCCTGCTTTGAACTTTCCACCACTATTGCTTGATTAGATACCTGAACTTCCTTCTGTTTTCCTTCTGTTTTGAGGTCCACTTCTTTTCAACTGGCTTCCTGCAATGTTTCAGATCATGACCATATCCACTGCAGTTGTTACATTTCAGTGGTTTCCATTCATAAACCACCTTCTGTGCTTGCACAACACCTGCTTCATCTTCAAACCATACCTCCTCTTTAAGTTTCTCCCTGAATTCAACCTCCACGAGAACTTTTGCATAGGCTGCTCTGAGTATATTTTCTGTGATGTCATCCATTTCTATAGGTTTACCAATCATACTGGTAAGCTTACTGAGAGAGGTGGCATTCCAGTATTTAAGTTTTAAACCAGGTAATTGGATCCACACAGGGATCGATCTTAGTTTCTCCAAATTAATACCAGCTTGTACATCCCAGTTCTTCACTATCAATGGATGATTGTCAAAGTGGTGAATGTTCTATTTTAGCACTTCCTCCTTATCATTCAAAAATCTAAAACGAATCACAAACACCCCATTGTCCAGTAACAGAACCTTATCTACATTTCTTTTACTCCAAAATGTTCTAATGAAACCGTTCATGACTAGAAATGGTAGCTTAGCTCCCAAGACATAACAGATTATGGATGACTTCCAATATTCAACCTCACTCTTGATCTCATCTTGTGTTATCTTCATTAGAAGCCAATCATTCACAATCTTTGTTTCAATGAAACTCAATTTCTTCTTATTCTGAACTAGGATTTTGGGATCAAACCCCTGCCAAACACCTTTATCCCCAACTTCCTTACCAGCCTCAGACTTATCAGATCTAGCTTGATTCTGAGCATCTGAGCTCTCAACAACCTCAATCACCTTCCGTTTACACAGATCTTCAAAAATCAAGTTCGGATTAGAAGATTTACCTGAGTTTGAGCTGAGCTGGATCTTCCTTGGACCACCGTCACCATGGGTTAACTTCCCTCCTGAATGATCGCTTTCTGTTCCAGATTGCTGCTGATTATCATTCTCCTTAACCTCCCCTCTCTTCTTTGATTTTCTCACCATTGCAGACTCACGTCGTAGATCCGGACGACTACACGTAGTGGGCGTGTTTTCGCCCACAGTAAAAGAGAGAGAAAAGTTTTAATATTAGTATTCCTTTAATGTTATGACCTTTGGAATTTCTTGC